ACTGACAAGAGCTTTAATTGTACTAGAACTAGTGCTGAATTGCTAAGGTATATCCCTTGACTCTTAATGCAGAATTTTCTTTTTCATTAACTAAAATATTCTGCCTAAAACCAAGAGAACTGTTAACACACGTACTGTCATGGCCAATGTAACTATTTCCCATTGATGCCTGGGAGAGGGAGACTTGGTCTCACATTGTCAGGTACTTCTGCATAGAACTCTGCAGTGTCTCCTGAGTTCGCCAACAGTGCAGGTCCCTGGCAGGAGGAAGCCCCTCCATGGTGCCCAGGCTGCACAGAGCCCACTCTGTTGTCGCCAAGTCCTTCTGCGCTCAATCTGTCGTGGAGAACACTGAGCAAGTTTCTTCCCAGAAGAAAGCCTGCATCTGGCAGCTGGGCAGACCGTGAGTGAAAGGGTCAAGAGGGGACAGGACTGATACAGCAGCCCTGTGTCAGATACCCCAAGACCCTCAATCTTGTCCAGGGCCCCTTCTTTTCTCGACTTAAACCCCTCCTTTGTGGTCCTGGAGGCCTCAGTGCATGCCCTGCCCTCTGCCTGGAAAGTGCTTCCACTTGCTGCCCACCTGGAGTCAAGGCTAATCCTGTACTTACCTGGACCTCATCATCCCTGTTCCCAGTGCCCAGGGCAGGGCATGGCACAGAATAGGTTCTCAGTGCTCCAAGAATGTTCATAGAGATAATAAATGAATGAATGAGTGAATGAGTGAATGAATGAACAGATGAATGAGGGACAAAGCCATCATTTGCCTTCCCTGCAGATTAATACATAACGCTAACTCTGTTGCCTCAGCAGCTGGTTCCCTTAGGAGAGTTTAAAACTCCTTTCAGAACTGGGTGCAGGATGGTGGAGAGAAGGGGAGGCGGCTGCAGCTCTGCCCCTGGCTTCTTATCCCGCCTGCTGCTCCCAACCTGCCTCCCCCAAAGGGGGAGTTACCTAACCTCTTGAGTGTCCTTTCCTCACCTGTAAATGGGAAGAGCAATGTCTCCCTCATGTGATGTTGTGAGGATTAACATAAGGGAGAACTTGGAGCCCGGCAGGTAAGGGGTTCAAAACATTTTAGTGAACTTCTTGATTCCATTATCCAAAGTATAGCAACTCCTTCCATCAAACAAGTATTTGGTTATTCCACCCAGGTTTAGCAAGAGCATCAAGAAAATAAAATAGCTGCTATCAATCCAAGAAAAGGAGATAAAACATTTTACTGTTAAGATTGTATGCCTGGGGTGGGGGGGTGTTGGGGGCCTAATATATGGTGAATATTTGATGTTGGGTGGTGGGCATACAGTGCAATATATACATATCTTATATGATAGAAATCTACATCTGAAACCTATATGATCCTGTTAACCAAAGTCACCCCAATAAATTTAATTTAAAAAAGATTGTAAGCCCAGTAAACATGGGATAATTACAAACTACTAGAATTAATAAGAGAATTGGGCAAGGTGACTGTATATAAGATAAACATAAAACACAAAGCTTTAAAAAATTTTTATTGATTGATTTTGAGAGAGAGAGAGAGATTTGTTGTTCCACTTATTTACGCATTCATTGGTTGATTCTTGTATGTGCCCTGACCAGGGATTGAACCTGCAACCTTGGCATATCAGGACAACACTCTAATCAACTGAGCTACCCAGCCAGGGCAGTTATTTTTTTTTAAGAAAAATTTATCTTAAGCTACAAAAAGCAGCTGCAGACTGTTAGCTCCCCTTCTGGAACCCTGGCCACCACCAGGCCTCGCTGGTTCAGCCACTCTTCAATGCCTTCCCTAGTTCTCAGAGGAGCACTCACTGCCACAAAGCTTCAAGAAAAGTGTCAATCTTTTTGTCTACTCTTAGAATGAATACCTACAGACAAAATTGGGGGTAAAATTACCTTTATAGCAACTCTGAGATACTCCAGAATACACTTAACAAGAAAAGTAAAAAACCTATAAAGAGAAAGCCACAAAATCTTATTAAAAGATACAATACGCCCTAGCTGGTTTGGCTCAGTGGATAGAGCATCAGCCTGGGGACTGAAGGGACCCGGGGTTCGATTCTAGTCAAGGGCACATGCCCGGGTTGTGAGCTCGATTCCCAGTAGGGGGCGTGTAGGAGGCAGCCAATCAATGATTCTCTCTCATCATCGATGTTTCTATCTCTCTCTCCCTCTCCCTTCCTCTCTGAAATTAATAAAAATATATTTTTAAGTTGTTTCTTTTTTTTAAAACCCATTATGTTGTACATCTAAAACTAAATACAATATTATTATTATTATTTTAATCCTCACCTGAGGATATTTTTCCATTGATTTTTAGAGAGAGTGGAAGAGAGAAAGACAGAAATATAGATGTGAGAGAAACACATCGATTGGTTGCCTTCTGCACGAGCCTGCAACCGAGTATGTGCCCTTGACCAGAATCAAACTGGGGACCCTTTGGTCCACAGGCTGACGCTCTACCCACTGAGCAAAACCGTCTAGGTCAGCGGTTCTCAACCTTGGTTGCACATTAGAATCACCTGGGAATCTTTTTAAAATCCTGATTTCTGGGCCTCATCCTCCGGAAATTCTGTTTGGATGAGGCCCAGAAATCAGGGTTTTAAAAAGATTCCCAGGTGATTCTAATGTGCAGCCAAGGTTGAGAACCACTGGTCTAGGTCCTAAAAACAATATTATATGTCGTTATATCTCAATTAAAACATTAAATTTATAAAAAATAGTTTCTTTTCATCCCACTAAATATAGTCAGACAACTTTTTAAAGAATGTCATTTTAAAAGCACATCAAGTTATTTGCCTTCCCCAGAGCACCCGCAGATCTCCTTTCTGCTTGTGATCAGGCTCAAACACCTCCAGCTGTTGTTCCTGGTTGAAGCCAAATCCCTGCAGTTGAGAAAATGCATGACTGCCCCTTAGTGGCTACATTTGGTTGCTGCACTCAAACTGGGTGCCCCGATCAATTAGGACTTTCCAATGCTTTAGCCAAGGTGAAGAACTAGGTAAATTGGATTCGGTTGTGAGCTGGCATTTTAGAACAACCCTTCCAGCCGAGGTGACCTGAAAGTCCTGTCTTGGGGGTAGCACCTATAACAGTGATGGCGAACCTATGACACGCGTGTCAGAGGTGACACGCGAACTCATTTTTTTGGTTGATTTTTCTTTGTTAAATGGCATTTAAATATATAAAATAAATATCAAAAATATAAGTCTTTGTTTTACTATGGTTGAAAATATCAAAAACATTTCTATATGTGACACGGCACCAGAGTTAAGTTAGGGTTTTTCAAAATGCTGACACGCCGAGCTCAAAAGGTTCACCATCACTGACCTATAAAGTTACCAGCAGCCTGTCCTTCATGGGGCAGAGATGGGTTAGAATGGGAGTGGGGAGGGGCTGCTGAAGTTTCCTCCTGAAGAACAACCTGCTAGAGGTGTGGCCTTGGCGTTCTCAGAACACAGTACTTGGCAGGACCTTGGCTGTGCCCACATAGCAGAGATCCTGTGGCCTTGCTTCTTCGGAGCATCTCCCTTCTACTCGGGTGACAGGCACAGAAAGGAAGACAGGAGTGAGCGCATCCTGAGTGAGATGGAAAGCAGTGGAGAGTTGTCAACAAAGAAATGACGTGATTTGTATAAAAGCTCACTCTTTGGGGAGATGGGAGGAACTGGTGATTTCTTGAGATGAGACCTGGTAAGTGAAGGGCCATGGAAAGTGGGTCCGTTAGGGTGGGAGCTGGAGGCATTACCTCCCACTTCTCACACCTGGGCCTTCTCCTGTATGCGGCTTGAGGAGCAAGTCTGGTTGAGAGGACAGAGCCCATTGCAATCAGTAAATATTGACATTGGTCAATTCTAGTTTATATCTACCCTACTACCACTATCTTAAGGTTTCCTCTTTGCTTAATGCTTTGTCATGCCAAGAGGCTATGGGACACACACCACTAGCTCCACTCAGCAGTGCAAATATAAAATCTATAATAAAAGCATAATATGCTAATTAGACCAGACAGCTGAGCAACCTTCTGGACGTCCTTCCAGATGACCTTCCTTCCAAATGAAGCCGCAGTGGCGGGGGCTGAGGCAGAGGCGGTTAGGGACAATCAGGCAGGCAGGCAGAGTGGTTAGGGCTGATGAGGCAGGCAGGCAAAGTGGTTAGAGGCAATCAGGCAGGCAGGCAGAATGGTTAGGGCTGATGAGGCAGGCAGGTGAGCAGTTAGGAGTCAGTGGTCCCGGATTGTGAGAGGGATGTCAAGTTGCTGGTTTAGGTCCGATCCTGTAGGGGTCCCTGTGGGATCGGGCCTAAACCGGCAGTGGGACATCCCCTGAGGGGTCCCAGATTTCGAGAGGGTGTAGGCCAGGCTGAGGGACACTCCCCCTCCCATGCACAAATTTCGTGCACTGGGCCTCTAGTAGGGTATAAAAGGGGGGAGCATACAAGCAGAGAAGTAGGGCACAAGCAGCCCTTAGAACTCTCATTACCCCTGTGGCCAGAGTCCCAGCAGAAAGGGCCCTGTTCCAGTAGTGCTGAAATGGAGAAGGAAAATGTTTTGCTGACATGAATGATTTTAAAAGAAGGAAGTTTTTATTTCTTTAAAAAAATTTTTAAATTACAGTTGACATACAATATTGTATTAGTTTCAGGTGTGCAACATAGTGATTAGAAATTTATATTACTTACAAAGGAACTTTAAAATGGAGTGCCTATGGGGAGGCAGCAGCTGTGTGAGTGACTATGTCACATTGGAAAGCCCCCTGTTGAGGAAGTGGTCTAGTTAGAAAGGGGAGCCCCTAGGACCCAGTGGCTGATACCACTGGGACAATTGCGATGTGGTGAGCGGGCTGTCTAGGGCGAGGAAATGAGTCTCTAAGGCCATTCAGATATGTCTCTTCTCACACTTAAATATTCTGTGACAATGAGGATGCTTTTGGCTGTAACTGAGTCTTCGTAACTGAAAGTGACTTAAGCCATAGAAATGCTATCATCTCCCTTTACAGGACATCAGCAGAACTGTCCCTAGATTGGCTCAGTGGCTCAGCCTGTCACCCAGGACCTTGCCATCTCTCCCCTCGGACACCCTCCTGGGCAACATCTTCCCTCAAGGTTGCAGGATGGCTGCTGGAGATCCAAATGTCACAGCATTACAGGACAATGTACAAAACCTTCTCCCCTCGTCTCTTCTTTTGCATCAGGGAGGGGACTTTTTCTTAAAATTCTGCCCCCACCCTTGGCCAGGAGACTTCCCCTTTCATCGCACTTGTTAGAACTGGGCGCACAGGCAGGGGGTGAGGACTGCTACCACGGCTGGCTTGGAAAAGCCATGGTTCATCCTATCAACAGGGAAGAAAGAGAGAGGCCTGCTGGGAAGTGACCACTTGTACCTACCATTACATGTTTTTGTTCTTTTCTTTGATTACAAAAGTCATATATGTTCATTGCAGAAAATGTGGGAAATCCAGAGAAGGATAAAGAAGAAACTAAAATCTCCTAATGTTCTGCCACCCAGATCCAACTATTTTGCACATGTTTTATCCATCTCTGCACTGCATTCCTCCTCCTGCCCCCTCCACCCTCCTTTGCACCAGCCCTTTAAAGCTGCCCACCCTACTCTCAAGCACATAAAAGTTTGTTGTAGGCCGAGGCCCCAGACTCTTCCTCACTCTTTTTTTTCTTTAACTTTGAAAAAAAAATGAGAAATAACAGTGTGTGTATAATGGATACATGTAGTCTAAAGAATAGCAGTGAAACAAACACTTGTGACCCACCTTTCAGCTTGAAAAAGAAAGCATTACTGATCCTTTGAGGCCCTGATCACACCCACTCCTTTCTCTTCCTGAATTCGCTATTGCTTACTGTATTAGTCAGTTGTTGCTGTGAAAATGCCATGTCTTGCCTCAAAACTCAATGAAAATTTATCTCACGTTCATGGTCCGTAGGTTAACTGCTTTGCCCTAATCTCGGCTGGGCTTGGTGGGTGGGTTGGCTGGGTTGGCTCCAGGCTGCAGACTGGATCCAGATCGGCTCCACGTGTCTCTCGTCCTGCTTGGATCAGAGTCCACCTGGGGCACAGTCTTCTTCCCAAAGCCCAGTGAAGCCTGAGAGCCACATCAAACAGCACAAGCACAGTTAAGGTACGGTGGCTCCTGTCATGTCTGCTAATATCCATCCCACTGGCCAAACCAAGTCACAGGGCCGCACCCAACCTCAATGGGGCAGGAAGTGCAGTCCCTTCGGAGTGGAGGGAGGTACAGTGAATATTTGCTAAACCAAAATCCAGACTATCATAGACATGCCTGTGGTTTTCTTCATGGTTTTACCAAATAGGAGCGTATCCCTAAGTAATATGTCCGTTGTTTTCTTCTGTCTTTGAACTTTGTATACATGGATTCAGAGTAAACATGTTTTCTCTGAGGCACTTTCTCCTGCTTCCCCCTTACCTGCTCTCTCCCTATTTTATCAGGATGCTTGGTTGTGAACACAGACACCAATCCTGGCTCACTTAAAGGAAAGGAGTTTATTGGAAGGGTGTTGGATGGTTCACAGAATTGACGGGAGGGTTGGAGAACCAGGCTGAGGAAGTGGATGCAGATCAGTTCTCGCTTGGGTCAGAAGACGGAGGGGGATTCCCTGTAAATGGACACAAAGAAACTCTTTCGGGTGATGGAAATATTTTGTATCTTGACTGTGATGGTGGTTACCTGGGATATATATATGCTTGTCAAGACTCACCAAACTATACACTTTAAAAGAGTGCAGTTTATTGATTGTAAATTATATATCAGGTTGATATTTTTAAAAGGGGACCTGCTTCATTTCATAATAATTTTTAAAAGTATGAAGTGGCCAGTGTTTGAGAAAGCAACTGTGGGTTCTCTCCAGACCAGTTTTATAAGGTTTAGGGTGATGTTACTGGCTCTATACCTGGTTCTCTAGGTTTTCTTATTGATTCTATTAACTATCCAATAGTTTTTTTTATTATTATAACAGGTTTATTGAGATTCAGTAGTTTTGAGTATATTCGCAGAGTGCACAACCATCATCACAATCAATTTTAGAACATTTTCATCACCCCAGGAAAAAGCTCAGACCCTTCAGCAGTCACTCCCATTTCGCCCTAGTGCCCCATATTAGTTTGCTAGGGCTGCCATAACAAAGTACCACAAACTGGGTGGCTTACAGCAACAGAAAGTTATTCTCTCTCAGTTGTGGAGTCTAGGAATCGTCCCAAATCAAGGTGCTGGCAGGACCATGCTCTCTCTAGGCTCTGCAGGAGAACCTGTTCTATGCTTTTCTCTGAGCCACTCAAGTTGCTGGCAATTCTTGGTGTTCCTTGGCTTATAGGTGCATCACATATTTATATCGTAATTATATCTGCAAGAACCCTTAAAAGGTCACATTCACAGGTAGGGCTTAGGATTTTAACGTATCTTGGGGGGGGGGACGACATAATTCAACCCACAACACCCCTCTTATCCCTAGGCAACCACTAACCTACTGTCCATTTATGGATTTACCTATTTCATATAAGTGTAATTATATAATATGTAGTCTTTTCTAACTAGCTTCTCTCAAATAGCATAATGTTTTAAGGTTCATCTATGTCGTAGCATATTGTATCAATACTTCATTTCATTTTATTTCAAATAACATTCCATAGTATGGCCCTGGCTGGGTAGCTCAATTTAAAGCGTCGTCCGTCTGATATGCCAAGGTTGTGGGTTCAATCCCTTGTCAGGACAACCAATCTATATATATAAAAGCCTAAGCAACCATTAGGACCCGACAACTGGATAACCAGACGGTAGCTATGATGCACACTGACCACCAGGGGACAGACGCTCAATGCAGGAGCTGCCCCCCCGGTGGTCAGTGTGCTCCCACAGCCAACCTCCCGTGGCTGGCCTACCTCTTGCAGTCCCTTCCCCTGGGTGGCCGGCCCCTATCGGCCCTATTGGGACTGGACAAGAGGGCCCCAATTGGCCCCAATCACCAGCCAGGCCAAGGGACCCCACCCATGCACGAATTTGTGCACTGGGCCTCTAGTGAGTGTATAAGTGGGTGGAACAACAAATCGATGTTTCTATCTCTCTCTCTGTCTCTCTTTCCCCTTCCTCTCTCTCTAAAATCAATAAATAAAAAAATTTGAAAAGAGATATCTTTATTTAAAAAATTCCATAGTTTAGATATACCACACTTTGTTTATTCATTCATTAGTTGATGGACATTTGAGTTGTTTCCACTCTGGCTGTTATGAATAGTGGCATTGTGAGCATTTATGTACACATTTTTGTGTGTACATATGTTTTTATTTCTCTTGGGTATATACCTAGTAGTGGAATTGTTGGGTTATATCAGTGGTCGGCAAACTGCGGCTCTCGAGCCACATGCGGCTCTTAGGCCCCTTGAGTGTGACTCTTCCACAAAATACCATGTGCGGGCGCACACGTACAGTGCGATTGAAACTTCGTGGCCCATGCGCAGATGTGGGTTTTCGGCCTGGGCAAGTCTATTTTGAAGAAGTGGCGTTAAATGAAGTGGGGGGCTGTTCACTGAGGTCGACCCCTCAGATTGAGGACGTTTTTAGCAAAGGCCAGCTTAGGAGTACCCTAATTAAGTTAATAACAATGTACCTACCTATATAGTTTAAGTTTAAAAAATTTGGCGCTCAAAAGAAATTTCAATCGTACTGTTATATTTGGCTCTGTTGACTAATGAGTTTGCCGACCACTGGGTTATATGGTAACTCTACATTTAACTTTATGAGGACATGACCAACTGTTTTCCAGAGCACCTACACCAGTTTACATCCCTACCAACAGTGGAATATAAAATTCCAATTTCTCCACATCCTTTTGAACACTTGTTATTACCTGTTGTTTTTTAAAAAATATATTTTATTGATTTTTTACAGAGAGGAAGGGAGAGGGATAGAGAGTTAGAAACATTGATGAGAGAGAAACATCGATCAGCTGCCTCCTGCACGCCCCCCACTGGGGACGTGCCCGCAACCAAGGTACATGCCCTTGACCAGAATCAAACCCGGGACCTCTCGGTCCACAGGCCGACGCTCTATCCACTGAGCCAAACTGGTTAGGCTCATTGTGGTTTTGATTTGTATTTCTCTGATTACTAATGATGTTGAACATCTTTTCATGTGCTTATTCCCATATTCTTTTTTTAATCATCATTTTTTCCCATCTTTTTAAAAAATTTATTGTCTAAAGTTTTACATATGTCTCCATTCCCCCCAATTGACCCTATTCCCATGTTCTTTTAATAAATTCCTTCTCTTAAATCAGCCAGAATTTTCTGTTGTGTTTTTGTTGCTTACAACTACAAATCTCTGAATCTATCAGGAAAGTCTCCCTGAGAGTTGCCTGTCCTCTAAATTCATTGTGGGCCTAACAAAGGAGTTCTCTAAGGGTCCTCCTCAAAGGTCCCTGAAGACTCCATGAGTACAGGAGTTTCTTTCACGGAGACCCTCCAAAGTCACTAAGGCCCTAGCATTTACTAACTCATTCAATCTGCGTAAACACTCACTGACTCTCCCTACATCCCGTGCGTGGCTCTGTGCCTGGGGTCCTGCCTTCAAGGAGTTCGTCACCTGCTACAGAAGGCAGACGTGGACATAGTCTGTTATTGCTTGTAGTAATCAGTGCTGCTGCAGAGGAAAACAGAAGGGCTCTCTATCCATAGGAACAGGAGGCCTCTCAGAGATGGAGATAGCAGAGGTAAGTCCCAGAGGATGAGCAGGAGATAGCCAGGTGAAGGGGCGGGGCATGTTGTGGTGCTCAATAAATGTCTCAGCCATCTTGGCAGTGTTTCTCAGTGGTTAGAACATCAGCCTCCCACCCCCACTGCACCAAAGGGTTCCAGGTTTGCTCCCCGCCATCAGTTGGGGTGCGTGCGGGAGGCAACCAGTAGATGTGACTCTCTCACATCAATGTTTCTCTCTCTCTCTCTCTTTTCTCTCGCTACCCCTTCCTCCCTTCCACTCTCTCTAAAAAGCAATTGGAAAAAAAATTCTCAGGTGAGGATTAACAAAAAAAAAAAAAAAAAAAAAAACCAAAAATGTCTTTTTTACATCAATGTTTCTCTCTCTCTCTCTCTTTTCTCTCGCTACCCCTTCCTCCCTTCCACTCTCTCTAAAAAGCAATTGGAAAAAAAAATTCTCAGGTGAGGATTAACAAAAAAAAAAAAAAAAGAAAAAACCACAAATGTCTATGTCTTAGAGGAAAGAGGAACAGCTTTGTATTACTGAGAATATACATTTAATTCCTATAATGATGATCTCACATGACCTAAATAGATCTTTTTTTAAAAAAAAATAGATCTTCTTTAACAGTTCAAGTGTAAGCAGTCCAAATAGGAGTATAAATTATCTATTTCTGCATAAAAAGCTATCCCAAAACTAGTAGCCTGAAACAATAGACATCATCTCACGTATTTTCAGTGGTTAAGAATTTGAAAGTGGCATAACTAAGAATTCTGGCTTAAGGTTCTCATGAGGTTGTAGACAAGACGTCAGCCAGAGTTGCAGTCATCTGCAGGACTTGACAGGAAGCTTGGTTGTTGGCAGGAGGGCTCAGTTCCTCATGATGTGAATCTGTTCTCATGACATGGAAGCCGGCTTCCACCAGAACAAGTGATTCAGGAAAGAGCAAGGCTGAAGCCACAAAGCTTTTTCTTACCTAACTTCAGAAGTCACACTCTGTCAGGGGTGTGAATATCAGGAGGTAAAAATTACTGGGGGACATCTTGAAGGATGGCTAACATAATCTGCTTCTTGACCCCAAGTCAAAATACCCTCCTCCACCCCCAAGTCCCTCAGAAATCTCATCTCATTACAGCACCAACTTGAAATCCAGAATTTTATTATTTCAGCCGAGTTTAGATGCACATGAACCTCCTGGGGTACAGTTCCTTCAGTAATCTCATCAAGTATCGTTGTGCTTTATCTGAACATCTGCAAATGAGTGACCCCCCCCAACATACCATGGTAGCGCGGGCCTAGAATAACCACTATAAACCCTCTTACGCACAGAGGGAGGAAACAGGAGTCACTGGTCCATAGCAATTCTGAAATCAAGCAGGGCACATATTGATTCTGAAATTGAGCAGTTCCATGACTCAGCCCCTGCTTGGGAATACTTTTCTGTGAGTATTGCTTCTGCCTCCGAGTCATCCTTCCTTTTTCATGAAAGGTAGCCAATGTTTGCTGCAGCTGTGTAGTTTTTTCAGTCAATTTTCTGGTTAAGTTTAGGAGTCTAAAGTCTTCTTTTTATTTTATATTGTCTCTGTCCTTTTCAAATGTA